TGACAAATTTCATAACGCGATTGACAAAATTTCCAAGATTGGCCAACAATTCAGTATTATTCCTAGTAATAAATTCTCTCCAAGTGCAATACTAGTCTTTTCTATCCAATTTTCAACTTTTGATTGTAACTTTGATAAATCTAAAAACATGTGATTCGATTTTCTTGTGATAGGTGTGCTATTATCTGTTTTACATCGTGGATTCATAAGTTCTACAGAGTTAAGAAGTTGGCCACAATAATCGCATTGATCGCCTCGCGCATCCTACGAGCGTAATTAACGTATTAAACAGTTTTTTAAAGATTATTCGCAAGAAACCTACATCGAATTTTTCACTTCGCAAATAGCTTTCACGTATGATTATAAAATAAAATAAATAAAATTTAAAAGTTTATCGTTGACACTTTTCGCAGAATAATTGAATCACGGTATCTTCACTAAGATAATCATTTTTGTACAATCTTAAAAAGATATCTTGTGAAATACTAAAATTTGTTAAACGAAAGATAGATATGTGAATATATTTAAATATTTATAATATTAATAATTCATTGTAAATAAAAACGTACTCAGTTGCTGCTGAGTGGTATTTCGGCCAAAATAACCGAATTCTATATCGAACCACTTGTAAATTTTTGCATGTGTCACAAAGTTCTTGACACGAGATTCCTTCTTGAGCTTTTGTTTTGTGGCAGTCCCATATTTTTTTCAGTACCACAGATGAATAGCGTATTATAATTACGAGAACGTGAATATCTTTAAAAGAAAACATAAACTGCAGTGCGTAGCGAACAATAATCAGTAATGGTTCAGCGATAATTCCAAAGTTATTGACAATTATTTTTGCTTTTACCTAGAAACATGTCTGCGCTTAGGACACTCCAAATAACATTTCCCGAATGAGGTACATTATTAACATAGGGCAATGCGCTAGTTATAAATACGTTCTGTTCGCCAGGAATAGGTAGCCTGTAAAAACAAATTAATAAAATCATAGCTCACCCGACTGTTAACGCAAAACTAGTATTGATAATACCTAATTCTATCCGTTTGAAGGTCAAAGGCAACATGTGGATTTATTTTTCGCACAAGAGTGACCGGTGAGGAATTACAAATTACAATGCTGATCAGGCTAGAAAGTTATTACAAGACGATATCAATTTCTAAAATAAAGTATATGATTATTAAATAGTTTTTTTAAAAAAAAAAAAATTAGAACGCTGAAAAAAAGAGAACAAAAACCTTCAAATCATCAATAATATCGACTTCATTAAGTCAATTCCACTATATCTCAACATGCTCATGTCCTCATTTATCCTTTTGATATTAGAAAAATTATTATCGGACAAAATATCTCCATAAACATTCATTGAAAAAAAACAAAATACCTTTGAATATCCCGAAACAATTCATTACATTCCATCTCCATAACATTAATCTCATCTTTCATTTGTTTTTCTGCAATTAATAATATTTCAATTGCTTGATTTAATGTCAGCCGATCATTCGACTAATTAATAAAAGTATCATAACGCACATCTGCGCGTTATTTCGGGACGCACATGGGCGATATTTTGAGTTACATATGCTATTTTCAAAAAAAAAAATATTCAAAATAACGCCCATGTGCGTTATACCAATAGTAATAATATAATATAAAGTGCTTCTTAACTATATTAATATTCGAATCACTTTTTCAATGCATATATAATTAAAATTACTAAGAAACCACACAAAATGCAAAACACGATAAATGTCTTCAAAAAAAAAATTCATATAATAACATAGTAATTCTTTTTTGCAGCCTTTCAACATGCAGTGATCGATATAGTAGTTTATTGTAGTATAACATAAGGAACTGAGATCATTCGTTAACTAAATATTGGTGTTTCTTTTTTATTCAACTTCAACATTAAATATAAATAAAAAGAAAATCTCTATAATAAATCAATGTTTTTTGTTTAAATATTGTTATCCGGGGAAGTCACGTGGCACGTGACTACGGCTACTCCAAATTAGGGTAACCCGGCCCACTTAGGC